TCCTCTTTTTCCGAAGTGCTTCTGGAAAGTGTGCACTGAATGAATGTCCTTTAAGGTAGGTCCTCAAGAAGCTTGTCTTTCCCTCCTTCACTTCTTGCTGCCAGGAGGATGCACTGGTCAGGCCTCATTAATCCAATTACTGACACCAGGTAATAGCTCGAGAACGGTCCCTGCTTCTCTATCAAAGCTGGCTCCTGCAGGCCAGGCTGGCAAGCCTAAGAGGCCAGCCTCCGTAAAGTTGCAGGAAATCTTTGCTCACGTTTCTTATCTCGCTCACGGTCCTGTCCTCTGTGCTTCTGCCTACACAATCTGGTCCACGCCTCAGAAACTTGGCAGGGACCCTGCAGAGGGGGCTGCAGCACGGAGACTTAATGCCTTTTAAGGTCCCTCTCCGTCTGACCCACACGTCTGTAAAGCACCAAAATGACCTCATGACATACACCAAAGAACAAGACATGAACAACTGCCAATAACAAAAGCAGAGATTTTACAAACATGTCTTACTTAGCTCAGTGGATACTCATTAAATACCTATTACACGTCAGTTACCATGATAAAGCTTTATTTCACAGCAAAGATAACTGGAATTCAACTGAGATGCTGCCACCGCCCTTTTTAAAAAAAAAAAAAACACCCAGAATTTCCTAATTCCAACAATAGTGTTCAAATTCCTAATGCTCTGAAAACCCACGTTTGGAACCTTCTGGCCACTCCTGGCCCATTTCGTCTGTCTCCCAGCCTAGCTCCATAGATGGGGCCTTTACACAGGGTGTGCTTCTTCCCGGCTCCACGCATGGGCGACCAACACACCCATCTACACTCAGCTCAAACCATGTCCTTGCCGACTTCCTCTCCAGGGGGAACTGTTCCTCTGCCGCTCCTCCACTGCAGCCTGAGTGCATTCTGCTTTGTAACCAAACTGTGTGTTTCTTCATCTCTGTGGTTACAGATCCTTGAGAGGGGAGATCGGGACGATCATGTCTTACTGTCTTAGTGACCTCAATACCGTGCTTGCACGTAGTAATAACTCTATTATTTATTTTTCCAGGAATCAAAGGATGAACCTCTCAGGTACCTTTCAGATCAAAATCTGGTCCCGGGCAGAGCAGCAGCAAGGCATCCAGCTACTTGGAAAGCGCATGCGCTACGACAGGTCACCTGGGGCTGACGCCAGCTCTGCCATTTCCTACTTGGTGGCATTGGGAACATTACTTAAGCTCTCTGAGACTTAGTTTTTAACCTGTAAAATGGGAATCATCACTGGAGCTGACCTCTAAGGTTGCTGTGAAGATTAAATGAGAAAATGCACCCAGTCCTTCACAAAGGGCCTAGCATACAGTTATAACTGACATCTGCTGACTGCCTTTCATGGGCCAGACACTGTAATATGCTAAAGACAGAATGATAGCCACGCCACATCACTCCCTGAACAGGGGTAATGTGAAGGTAAGAAAAGAAACAAGTCAACAGTTATGAAACAAAGGCCGCCACACAGGTAGGGACAGGAGCAGTGGGACAAAGAGAAGGAAGGACTAAATCGATCCTGGAGTGGGTGCTGGCATCAGAGAATTTTGGGGGTAATTTGCCGCTGTTTCTCTCCAAACGTACTAAACTCAGTACTAAGTTTAAGCAGGACTGAACTTCAGGACAGGCAAGTTCAAGGCCCCAGCTGAGCTGACTGGGCCCCGGAATCCCTTATTGTGTGTTTTGCACAACTTCAACCCTACAGTGACTGACCTGAGGTAATTTAGAAAGCTTTCAGAAGGTTTTAAAGCACTTATCACAGACGGCTGGCCTGCAAATATTACGGGCATTCTTGAATAAATTAGAGACATCGAGGGGTGAGAGCGACTTGCACAGGTATCTTCCATGAGACAGCAGGAAACAATATATTTGACTCGTGGGACCGTCCAGCCTGTTTTTCTTAAGGAAATAGTCACTGTAATTTCAACCCAAAATATTTTTGTGTCTTGCTTTCTAAATACTGCCCCCAAATGTTCCATGGCTCCTTGGAGGAATGGCTGATTCCAGGGCTGGCACAGAGAAAAGGTCTACGAGAAGCCTAGAATATCATGTTAAGATGCAAAATGCTCAAAAATAAAACGATGAGGGGCATGTCAGAAGACACAGCAGACATCCAGAAGCAGTTCCCACCTGCCAAATATGAGGCAGCAGTAGATTATAACCCACTGAATAAAAGAAAATTCCAAGTCGATCCTGATAATAATGAAGAGATAAGAGAAAAAAATAAATGGGGCAGAAAAGGTGGAAACAACCCAAATCCCATCAACAAATGAACAAAACGTGGTATATATACATAATGGATTATTATTCAGCCTTAAAAAATAATGGAATTCTGACACGTGTTGTAACATGAATGAACCTTGAAGACATTATGTTAAGTGAAATAAGCCAGACACAAAAGAGCACACCTCGTATGATTCCACCTAAGGAACTACCTAGAGTAGTCAAATTCATCGAGATAGAAATTAGAATGGCGGTTACCTGGGGCTGGGGGTGGCGGTGGCGGGCAGTTATTGTTTAACGGGTAGAGTTTGGGACAATGAAAACATCTGTGGATGAATGGTGGTGATGGTTGCACAACAACGGGAATATACTTAATGCCACTGAACTGTACAATTAAAAATGGTTAAAATGGTAAATTTTATGCATAGTTTACCACAATTAAAAATAAATGATGAGTAGCACCAGAAACTACTGCTCTTTTCACATAAACAGGTAAAAGTTCTTTAGACTCACTATTTCTTCCATGAGCAAAATCTACCTGGCCCTAGATGTGGCAGGTCAAAACTATAAGGAAATTATTTCAAGCAGTAAAATAAAGTAAAAGATGGTTACTTTGACCAAGTTAGGGTCTAATTTGTCTTCTGCATGATCAATTTGATCAGTGTTTTAGAAAATGATGTAATTTATTTCCAAAGACAGGTCCATAATCTCTTATCTGCAATTATAAAAAGCTCTGAAAATAAAAAAAAATTTTTTTTTCATAAGTTTGGTTCAAAAGTATATGTGATGGCAAAACCTGACCTGAACTCACATGGGGCCATGTTATACTCATAGTCTTTATTTACCCACTTGGTGTGAATATTCATACATTTTGCTGCAGAAACACTGCCACGCTTGACAATGGCATTACCCAGTGTCTCCATCTCTGTGGGAATCATATTGTATATACGTAGTATAAGCACCATGACAAAAAGACCTGAAAATTATGAATTCCGAAATAAATCTGGTCTCAAGAGTTTCAAAGAAGAGGCAGTGGATCTCTACTAAATTAATCATATCAGATATCAGATCAATATTTCCCAAGCTTCTGTCATTCTCTACCAAATTCACAATTCTGCCGTACCTACATATCACTTGTATTATTATATTGTCCAGTACTTGTCTTCACATCGACTCACCTTGTTATTTGAATAAAATTAGATTTTTACAGAAATATCTTATCTCTACTATCAACGCCGAGCTTTTGAAAGGTGTGCCCTCTGTTAAAGGGAGATTCTGAAGGATTCCAGGGGTGTGAAAGACACAGTGGTACCAAACTGAGACTTTCGTCTTAAATCATCCAAAAGACGACACTGAAAAGGAAACACCTGCCTTACTAATGTCACTTCAGTGTGATCTAGCGCTAGATTGGCGTGCCAGCTCCACGATCTACTACACCCAGAGTATTCATCCTACACTTTGAGAGACTTGCCTACACCATGTCATCATCATGTCATGCAAGTAAAGCCTCTGCTGAGACCGTGAGTCTTGTTGGGGGTGGGGAAGGCGGGGGATGGGGGGGGGCTGGCTGAACAGAAGTATAACACAGACGAGAGGTGGATAAACCTCTGTGTCTTACTTCTATTCTGGCTTCATAACCTGCCATGTGGATTTAGCTGGTCATGCACTGCTGTCTATCAAATTGGCACAAAAGGTACCTGGACTATAACCATCTGGCGCATCTATAACCTGCACTTGCCAAAGGACTCCTCAAGATAACTGTGTGTAGAAGCGAACCGACTGCCTACAAGAACATGACCCAGGCTCACGGGGACCCTCACTCCTTCCTCTATTTCCACAATACCTATGCTAATAACGGCCTTCACAACCAGCAGGATGAGAGTCATTGTAAAAAGAAAGTAAGTCCATCATTAAAAGTTCTATCAGATCAACATCAGGATATGTATTTTTATGAAAAGAAAATAAACGGGGGAAAAAAGGGGAAGTTTTTCCTTATAGTCGGATACTGGGAGTTGGAAATGTTGGGAGTTACAAAAATCTCCATTATGCAAGTAGTCCAAGTTTAAAATTAATAACTACGCATTGATTTGATGAAGTGAACAAAATGAGCATCACCAGGAAAGGGGCAAATCGACATCATGAGCCTCTGGGTGTGATGGACTAAGAAAGACACAGCATCCCTTCTGGAGTTATCCTGCATCTAAATGCCAGACAACAACAGACACACGTAAGTTGAGGGCGATTCTGCAAAATACCCAGCCTATCCTTCGAAAAGGTGATTAAAGACAAAGAAAGGTTGCAGGATCATTCCAGATTAAAGACATAGGTCTACTAACATATATGACCCTGGACAGGATCCCATATCAGAAACAAAACAAAACAAAAAACTATAAAGGACATTATGGGGACAGCTGACAGAATTGGAATATGGATGGCAGGGTAGTAAAAGAATTGTTATCAATGATGAATTTCCTGATTTGGATTTGAGCAGTTAAATAAGGGAATGCCAATTTTGTTTAGAAATACACACTTCAGGTATTAAAGGGGGAGAAGGCACAATGTTCTCTAGCTCTCCAATAGTTCAGAAAAGACACAATAGGCAGAATCTGATACACTTTAACAATAGGCGACTATGGAAAAAGGTAACGGAGTTCTTTCACTGAAACACAGTCGAAGATAACGACTGCTCCCTCGCTGTCCGCTGGCTGCCCCAGAAGCCGCCCGCCCTGGCCCCAGTTTCTGTGTGGACTCACCATTCTCCTGAGAATCCTTAGCAGAAGCTTCTGCTCCTTCGGGTCCTCCTTGGATGTCAGTGAATCAGCAAAGTTCTCTGCATTTTCCGGAGACAGGCTGTCTGGGTTCTCTCCTCCGTAGAGTTGAACCAGTATAGACAGACACTTAGACGAAACTTCAAAAATTTCAGGATCCTCGTGAGGAAGCTGAAAATGAACAAACAGGACTTGCTTAAATTCCATCAAAGATGGTGCTGATATTCCTCAAGAACTACAGTGAAATTTGGCTTGATGGAGAAAATGTCAGTCTGAGTACAAAGTTTCACTAACTGAATAGTGTTTTTGAATGGATCTCTTTCAAAATACAGTGACTAAAAAAAGCTCATAGCACAGAATCAGCAGTCCTCAAGTCCTTTAATCCATAGTAGACAATGTCCTGTAACAAGCAGAGGACCAACATATGTTTCATATGCATACGATGCCATACAATTAAGTTCGCGAACTCATCCTAGAAAAAGTGCTACATACCTCACTGCTGAATATCACTACAGTCACCTTCAAAGTGCTCCCCTTGGGAAGCTATGCACCGATGCCAGCACCTAGTTCACCCTTCAAAGCAATTTTGGAACTTTCTTTTTGGAATGACCATCAGAGCTGTCGTCGTATTACCCTTGATGTCCTGAATGTCATCAAAATCTCTTCCTTTCAATATTTCCTTTATCTTCGGATAAAGAAAGAAGTCCCTGGGGCCCAGATCAGGTGAGTAGGGAGGGTGTTTCAATATAGTTATTTGTTTACTGACTAAAACCTCCCTCACAGACAGTGCCGTGTGAGCCGGTGCATTGTTGTGATGCAAGAGCCATGAATTGTTGGCGAAAAGTTCAGGTCATCTAACTTTTTCATGCAGCCTTTCCAGCGCTTGCACATAAACTTGGTTAACAGTCCAGTTGGTACAAATTCATAATGAATACTCCCTCTGATATAAAAAAAGGTTAGCAAAATCATTGCAACAAGTTCACGAACTTGTCAGACACCGCCATATATTCATACAGAGGTGTGTGTGTGTGTGTGTGTGTGTGTGTGTGTGTGTGTGTGTGTGTGTGTGTGTTTATCACATGAGTAGATCTGGTGCGCCCAAAGATACAGAACAATTCCATCCTAAAGGTCCCTTTTCTAGCAAAATCCGACTCTCTCCCTCATGTCTTATTATCCACTTTAGCCATCTCTGTTTTTAACTGGTCATTTAAACCATTTACATTTAATGTAAATATGAAGATGCCAGGGTGTAAGTCTAACATGCAATTTTATTATTTGTCTCTGGTTCGTTTCCTGTTTCTTATTCTTCTGATTCACACTCTCTTTTTTAACCTTCCTATAGGTTACTTGAACATTTGTTTTATGTTTCCAATAACAATGATTAAAGTTCTCTTTTACTCCCAATACTAGTTTCCTAGGGCTGCCATAACAAACTCCCACAAACCGGGTGGCACAAAGAACAAAAACTAATTCTCTCTTTGATTAGAAGACCGAAATGAAGGTGTTGGTAGAGCCACATTCCTTCCAAAGGAACGTGGGGTGAACTGTTCTTGCCTCGTCCAGCTCCTGGTGGGCCCAGATGTTCCTTGGCTTGTGAAAGCAAAACTCCAGTCTCTCCCTCTGTCTTGACACTGTGTTCTCCTGAGTGTCTCTGGCTTCACATAGCCACCTTCTTATAAGGACACCAGTTACACTGGATGAGGGAGCCCATCTGCTCCAGCACTACATTATCCTAACTAATTACAACTGCAATGACCCTGTTTCCAAATCAGGTCACACTCTGAGGTTCTGGGGGTTAGAACTGCAATGTGTCTTTTTTGAGGAATGCAGTCAACCCACAGTATCATATTAATAACTAAAAAGAAAAATCGTATGATCATCTCAATAGAAAAAATATTTAACAATATTCAACACGTATTCCCAACAAAAACTCAGCAAACTAGGAGAACGAAACTTCCTCACCCTGATAAATGGCATGTCAGAGCCCAGTGCTCACCCTGAGATCAGGAAGACAGACAGGGATGTCTTCTGTCATCAGTTCATTCAACATCGAAAGGGGAGTTCTGGCTAGTGTAACTAAATCCAAAAAAAATGGCATCCAGATGGAAAAGGAAGACATAACTGCTTATTTACAGAAAATATGATCCTCTATGTAGAAAATCCAAACAAATTTACAAACTACTACAGCCCGTAAATGAGTTTCACAAAGTTACAGGATTCAAGAGCAATGTACAGAACCAGCTGTATTTTTACATGTAAGCAACAATCCAAAATTGGAATTCAAATAAATACCATGTACAAAAAATTGAAATACTTAGGGATAAATCTGATAAAAGATGAAAGACCTGTGCACTGAAATATACAAAATGTTGCTGAGAGAATTTAAAGAGGACCCAAATAAATGGAGGGATTTACCTTGCTCATGAAACTCAATTTTGTGAAAATGTCGATTCTCTCTAAATTAATCTACAGAGTCAATGCGATCACAATCAAAATCCCAGTAGGTTTATGCCTTTGGGTTTTTTGGTAGAAATTGATAAGCTGATTCTAAGTTTCATATGGAAATAAAAAGGACATGGGACAGCCAAAACAAACTTGCAGAAGAAAAAAGTTGAAAGGCTAACATTACCTGATTTCAAGACAATATCAAGCCAATGTAATCAAACAGTATGGTATTGGCATAAAGTTAGACACATAAATTAATGAAACAGAATAGAGAACCTAGAAATAGACCTGCAGAAGTACAATCAACTGATTTTGGACAAAGGTGTAATGGCAATGCAGTTGAGAATACATTTTCAACAAGCAGTGCTGAAACAATATGCAAAAACAATCTTAAATCCCTACCTTTCATCATAGACCAAAATTAACTCAAAATGGTGGATAACATAGATCTACTCTAAGGTGGTTCAGAATTACCACAGAACATCCACACTCAATGAAAAACCCCAAGTCTTCAGGAATTTCTGAAACTCATTTTGTACTTAAAAAAAAAAAGATTGACAGATCTAAATATAAAATCTGAAACTATAAAACTTCTAAGAAAAAACAGGCAAAAATCTTTTTTACCTTGGCTGAAGGAAAGATTTTGTAGATATGATTGAAAAAGCATAATTTACAAAAGGGGGGGGAAAAAAGGTAAAACAGATTTCATCCAAACTTCTCTTTGAAAGACAGTGTCTTGTTCATAAAATGATCAATAAAAGGTGGATATTACTACCCCTGTCCCTATCACAAAATGTCCTTTTAACAAAGAACCAGAAAAACATGTTCTTTCAGACCTCAAAGCTAGAAAATGTTTCTTGCTCCAAGGAAATGTCTCCCCTCCACGTGCCCCACTTTCTGGGTGATATGCATCTTAGAAATGATAATGTTTCCATTTTTGTCCAGCAACCAGGATTCTCGAAGCCAAACCATGGCCTGACTAGCAATTATACTAGACTTCATATTTGTATAGAAATTTCATCCTATCTTATCTTCATTGTTTTATTCATGTTTTCAACTTTATTTAGGTTTGCTGGACTGTAAAAAAAAACAACACCCAATTAAGTTTGAATTTCAGATAAACAGTAAATCTTTTTTAGTATAAATATGTTCATTTGGCATCTTGTATTTTATCTGTCAACCCTAACTTTATTGCAAGCATTATTAGCCAACTCCGATGCTTTGTGGGAGAGACGAGATAATAAACACACACATATATACACATACAACTTGAATTATCTCAAAGTAAACTTACACTTGAATTTTAAAAACTGCCTTCAAACAATTTAAAATCACATTTGTACTGTGTTTACTTCCCTTTATTCAATCTACACAATACAATGTATTTCAAAATCCTTCTCATTTTATATTCTATTTTTAAAATATTGCCTGGTACAGTGCTTTGTCAAAAATTATATGGGCATAGTTACTGTCAGAGAAGAGAATATGTTAACCAAGAAAGAAAAAAAAAACCAACCACTTAATAATACAATGTTTTCTTCCCATTTTATGTATGCTATCTAAAAGCACCTTGAGAAAAGACTCGCTCTGTGTTGTTAGGACATTCTTAACAAGGATTCGCATTAGGCCATCCATCCTTGTTCCCCTTCATTTTAATATATCACTCCTGCCCCAATCAGCGGAAGAGGCAGCAGAAACTATCATTAGGCTGATGAATGGTAGCAATTCCAGATGACAGCGCCCAAGGAAACACCATTGCCCACAGGCTTGACACCGCCCCTTTTTTCTGGAGAAGTAGATACTCTCTCTCGAGTTTCTTTGACCCCCCCTACCCCCACTCCAGGCACATTATATTCCTAAATGTGGAAATTTAGAGGGAAGAAAACCTGCCACTACCATTATTGATTCAGCTGTAAGTCTACAGATCACAGACCAGAGTACTAGAGTTTAACAAGAAAACAATCCTAAAACAAGTTCAAAGTCATTGATAAGTCAAATTGGCCTTGACTTCTGAATTTCCTGCACTGCCCGGACTAACTTTCATAACGAATTTCACATTTTCCTGGTCAATAACTAAAGAATGAAAAAAGACAGCTCATTTAAAAAATCATAACCAGTCAATACGGAAGGAGATTTAAACAATTCTATTGAAGCAGCAAAGTTGCAGGAACCAGAGATGTATGTCAACAATGACTGCTAAGATGCTGGGTTTTGTGTAAAAGCTTTGGCCTGACCACATGTCACTTTCTGCCCTTTTCTGTCTCTCTTCCTTGGGAATTCAGGTGGAGTCTGTCGCCATTGGATGAGAGAAGGCTATTCAAGATGGCCACCCAGGAACTAATCAAATGTTCCACTGTGCTTCGCCTTGTGCCCCTTACCATCTGTTTTCCACACAAGAGCCATGGTAATTATTTTAAAAATTTTAATCAGATCATATCACTCTCCTGTTTAAAACCTCCGATGACTTCTCATTGCATTTAGAAGACAGTCCAGACACTTTGCTGTGTGGCCCACAAGACCCTGCCTGAGCAATGAGGCAGCATGATTGGAGTGAACATGTAAGTAGAAGAGGCTAGACAGTGAGGTCAGAGAGGAGAGCAAGATGACACACTCTCCAAAACCTAAGTCAGATCCTCATTCGCTGCTGGAATCACCAACGGCTTAGATATGCTTATGGCGATACTGTAGCTAGTGGATATATGAGCGTGGAGTTCAGGGGACAGGTC